TTTTTTTTTTTCGCCCGCTCGCACCGATTTTGGGGTCCCCAGAGGATGTCATCCATAAAAATAAAAAAAGTGTGGCCTAATGTAAGTTTAGTAAATATAGTTTTAATGCAATTTATTCATGTGAATAGCGACTGAGCGATAAAACTGGACAGTATGATATAGGTAACACTTGAAATATGTACAAGGCTTGTTGTTGCTGGTACACATTAATGAGCATCAATACTATGAATATCAATGCCGCTAAGAAATAATTAATTAATGAAATAATAACCGCATTAATGGTGATGCGGGTCTGACAATTTCTACAGGTTGCAGGTTGCTTCAAGCAATGGCGATGACTCATAAATTTAGTAAAAGATGGTAGAACAGAAACTTACGCCATCTACTGTACGTATTTTTTTCAAAGCTCTGCATTAATATGCTAATATGTATATAACAATGACAAGGACCCTTTTTCAGTCACAAAAAACGGAGAATTAAAAACAAAAAAGATTTCTCGTACCGTTTTGGTCGAGGACTCCCACCCCTTTCCTAGTGGTGTCCGCTGCTCCGGCTTCCTGGGAGGCGAAGAACTCATTCGGCGTCAGATAGTACGTGTATTCGTTGACGCCATTGTATGCCTTCTCCACTGTCTGAGCGCCCGTCCTAAGCGTTCCTGCTCAGAGAGTTTAGCCACACATTACATTTTATAAAGTCGCTTACTTGTATGATGTCCTTTGTGCCCTGTTGTATACTGTCATATAAGTGCATTAAGTAATATAATATAATATAATATAATATAATATAATATAATATAATATAATATAAATTTCAGGCTTACCATGTACAGTTATCAATTGAAACTGTATCTAAATGGAGTTTACATTCTGATAAATGGCATGTGACGAAGGAACAACAGCGATTGACTTAAAATGCTCATCATAATCTCATATGTATTATAAGCTCCAAACAGGAAATGCATTTTGTCAAACGTTTACATTATGTAATAAAACTTCCAAACCAATCTTGATTTCGCAGTATGAGACCCTTTTTCCATAACATATGTGATGTTTCATATTTTGCTATTGATAATCGGCATTTTGAAGCTAGTTTTAAATACGATTTAAATACGAAACAACGCATTAGGGTATGATCAAGCTACGTATATAATGCTAAAAGACTGAGTTGTCGAGGAAAGCTCCGGAAGTTGAGTGCCATCGATAGCGACGAGTCAATCACGTGAACAAGACAATATGGATCTTGGGTAAAGCATACCTCATAGACAAGAAGCACATTTAGTTTCCTCTGGAATGATTTACTTTTTTGTCATCATTTACAAAGAGACAATGAGAAACCTGCACCACCAATAATGCAATTACTTTATAACACCATTGCCACCCACCGTCTTCTGCCGTGACCACCATTTTATCCGGGTCTTTCCCCCAAGCTTTAAGGTTGTAGGGGTTCCACAAGCTCAGCGGTGTCAAATAAATGATTTCCAAAGGTATGGCATACGACCATTTTTGATCAGCCCATTTACAATCTGAAAGAAAACGGGAAGGATCGAATCAGTACATTTACCGTTAAATATGATAAAAACATTAGGCATATATCCATCACCCACCACGCAGGAAATATATCGTGAACTGAAGTAGAGCAAGTTTTTGGTCTGGGCATTGAGACAATTTTTAGGGAAAAAAATTGTAAAACAGGTGCCAAGTCATGCGCCCAATCTGCCATTGCCGCAGGTGCGAAACGGGTTAATTAATTAAGATTAAAATTCACCTAAACCATTTACACCGGCCATTGCTGCAAGACTTCTCACGTGAACTACCTACCTCTGCCGTTCTGGTTACACTTCTTAAACGTCATACCGACGACCTCGTCTTTATCTGTCATGGCCATGAATACATTGGCATCTGAATAGCTGCGATGACGAGTTTTCCGGCCGCTGGCACCCTGGCAGAATATTATTGAAGAATTGTTCCAGAAACAATAATAAACGTAAATTACATTCTGGAATGTACTTGGTAAATTCCAATGACGAACCGACTTTGTGGTCTCCCCCTGAGTTGAATCCTAAAATAACGTATTCGATAAATCCACTTAGTAATGGCTCGGTCTAAGTAGTTTAACGTACTCGTAAAATCACCAGCTTTACTGTTCAACTCCATGAGGAAGCGTGTTAATCCGTTAATCTGTTTGCATTCCGCGAGAGTCACCGTGGAGTTGGATCGAGGTACATAGACCGATAGTTTCTTTGGGAATAGTTTATTTACAGCAGAGTTGGGGCGGGCACAATATAGCATATAAACAATACGCCCTTACCGCTTTAATAACCTGATACCACCGATGATACCTGGCGGCGTTGAGCATCACTTCCGTGCCGTTCTCCAGAGGCTCCAACCGGTAAAATGGCTCGTCAAATATGTTATCTTCCAGATAAGCAGGGTAGTTATTCTTGCCGGGGATCTCTTCCATGATCTGGTCCAAGAGGCCGGTCAACCCGCGGACGAACAGGTGCTCATCCGGCCAGAATTTGGAGTTGTCCGGGTTTAATTGGAACCTAACACAATGGATATTTGTATGGAAATATTAATTGTCCATGTTTAATTGTGACCTAATTGACACAATGGATATTTATATGAAATACGCAGTGTGTAAATAACAGCAGCTTCTGTACATTGTCGTCTGCCATGTGGTATATAGGCCCAATATAAATAGAAAAGAAGAATAGCCCCATATCTAGTTTCGGTTCCATCAACAGTTGAAATGATTTTTTACTCTGAATACCAAGGCGGATCATGACATGAAAACTATGGCCGCATTCAGAGCATGGCAGACCCATTTAAATACTTCCCCACAGGGAATCTATTCAGTATCTATTAGGGCATTAGACGGCAAGCTTTTTAGTGGGTCTCCATTCTTACCCCGCGGACTAGCTAGTCCACTGTTCTGACTGCAGCCTTTGAGTATAATTCATCCTGTAATTATTTTCAGTCATCAAATTCACTCATCTACCCACTTTTCCTCACCGTTGTTTTCTACTTTTCAGCCATGTAACATCCGAGTCCACGTTGCATGTACTTTATACTGTATTTTCACCTTAGTCTCAGCCACCTAAAAACTTTCATTCACCCACCCACAATCACTCATCTTCACTTTCTTACAACCAATCCCTACAGTAAACCAACCTTGCCCTGCGCGTCTTCGAATGCGTCTCAAAGTCGCTCTGGTCCAATCCCTACAGTAAACCAACCTTGCCCTGCGCGTCTTCGAATGCGTCTCAAAGTCGCTCTGGTAGGCCAGCCTGGAGCCGAGGTCATCGCGCACCCTGAAGACCGAGGTGCTGATGTCTTTGCTGATAGGGTGACACAGTATCCGGTAGTTCCACTGCGCCATCTTGGGAATGCCGTCAGTGATGTTCATCACGGCCACAGGGAGAAAGGCGAAATTCTCCAACTGGCTCTTTCGGCCCGAGTAGGAGGTGAACCGGGTCTTCTGGTGAAGGTCTGCCCAGTCGGTGGCGTCAAGAGCGTGACGGTCGCTTTGGAAGGACTCTTCCAGTTTACCTATTGATGGCCAAAAAGGGTTACGGTGAAGAGACCATTCCCAGATCCTATCCTACTTTAGATCGAACTATCTCAGAGGGGGGGGGGGGGGGGTTCTCGCTCAATTGCAATTGACCTAAGCGGCTTAGTTATCGGTCACGCCTAACGAAGCTGATAGGGGGTAATTACCTGTCGTTTAGCAGCCTTAGTAGGCGTCTAAGACATCTAACCCGATTGAGCTGAAAGCAACTTAGCGAAAAACCCCTTGGAGATGGACCGATCCTGTTTGATCGATCTAAGTATAGGAACCCATGCAGTCCAAGACGTACTTTCGTTACCACATGTCCTTAATGCCTACATAAAAATTGTCTTGGTTGCTGTTGTATGTATGTATGTATGTTATTGTCTCCTTACATTCACTATAGTTGAGCAAAATGTGCTTGAACCAACTGAGATTGTAATTAAAAGAGCTATAAAATTATTTACATTGTTCTGAATTTGGATTCGGGTTTGGGAGTTTAAAGATTCTTTTTTGGATCTAGCCTGATACGGTTCAATATTTGCATGTGGCATTGTTTCCAAGGCTTGCTCCTAGAAGAGTTGGGACGCTCTGACACCGATTCAGAACCGTTTTTAACGATCAACCACCTCAGAATTTCATTGTGTCACACCCATCAAGGCAGACACAATTAGTTTTAACACGTGATTTTTTTTTTGTACAGTCGTATTGTTTTGCACTATAAGCTAAAGTACCAAACATTCTTCTCTGGTGTTTTGTAATGGTGTACCACAATATATATTCATAAATGTAGTAACAAAATCTTGTTGACGTTTCATATTTTCTCATTAAATAAATAAAATAAAATAAAATAAAATAAAATAAAATAAAATAAATTGATTAAATAAATATAAGATAAAAATAAAGTGATTAATTAATTAATTAAGTATTGTATTTATTAATTTTGGATATATTTTCTTTACCGTCTGGGCTTATCTTGGTCCACGTGCCCTCCAAATAACACATGACAGGCTTGAAGTACTTCCTGTAGTCCCGCACATAACTATTCTGATCACGGAATGCTTTGAACCACTCCTTCATTTCTGCTATCTGTTCCTCTACCGTCGTCTTACTTGTTACCTGCCAATAAAAAAGAAATATAGCATGAATATTTAAGTAGGCCTACTCATGGATACATTGCTCCACCAAGAAAGTCCAATTCTCATTATTAACCAATGAGTTAATTGTAATAACTGCAATATTAATGATATTTTTAACAATAACAATAATGATGACAATAATAAATGTTAGTACATGTAGATTTACATTAACTTTTCTATACTTGCGGCTATTATCAAAATGTGTTTTACTTATTATTATTATTTCAACAAAACAGAAAAGATGGTGTGAAAGTTTTGGTTGGTACGTAAAATATAACATAGCCTATAACCTTCATTCTCTATATCAGGATTTATTCCTTCATCATAATTTTTATTTTGATATGTTTTTTGTCAATGATATTCTGGATAATTTTACTGTTAAAAAATGAGTCGAACGTCGCCTCATATAGCAGCTAATTTCATGAGGGACTCCACTATTCAAACAGCTGTCTTTATGAATGTGATCGTTTTGAAAAGGAAACAAATTTCTAAAGCCTTTATGCCCCTATGCTGTTTACAATCCCAGAACAACCCTGATGATCAGCAAGGTTCTATGGAGGTGTTGGAAAGCCACTCCTTTTCTTTTCTGTATGAGTTGTAGAGTAATATTCATTATTTATTATTGCAACAAATTCCTCAAGCTGCAAAGTTAGTTTATATGCTAGGATTGGGGGCTATTGCGACGACTATATTCTCAACGACCAGAAAATATACGTGTATGTAGGGAGTAGGCCTATATGTATACCGGGCATTGCAGAATTTCTATCACAACTCTGAAACTCAGGGTGTTTTTCATTTATTCAGTTATAGATATGAAAAACGGGAGGATGTGTCTTGGTGCATAATTGTGAAACTGTGGCTCCTCTTTACTCC